ATGCACCAGGCCCTGCCCCCCCCCCCTCCCCCCCCCCATATGGGATGGGTCCCATATACTGGTCCCATATGAGATCTTCCCCCTCCCCCCCTGTGGTGTGGTGGGGGTGTGGCACTGTCCCCCTCCCCCCCCTGTGGTGTGGTGGATGGGTCCCATATACTGGTCCCATATGAGATCTTCCCCCTCCCCCCCCTGTGGTGTGGTGGGGATGTGGCACTGTCCCCCTCCCCCCCCTGTGGTGTGGTGGATGGGTCCCATATACTGGTCCCATATGAGATCTTCCCCCTCCCCCCCCTGTGGTGTGGTGGGGGTGTGGCACTGTCCCCCTTCCCCCCCTGTGGTGTGGTGGGGGTGTGGTATGGTATGGTGGGTATGTATGGTGTGTATGGTCGGTCTGGTATGGCATGTTTGGAAAGTATGGTATGTTGGTATGTATGGTAGGTATGGTATGTATGGCATGAGTGGTTGGTATTGTATGGATGGTAGGTATGGTATGTAAGTCTGTTGGATATGGTATGTTTGATATGACAGTATGTATGGTCTGTATGGTATGTATGGTTACTATGATGGGTATGGAATATGTCCTATCTAAGGTAGGTATGGTATGTATGGCATGTATGCTTGCTATTGTATGTATGCTATTGTATGTATGGTAGGTGTGGTAATTACATTTCATATGTATGGTATGTATGGTATGTATGATAGATATGATAGGTATGGTATGCATGGCATCATTGACATGTATGGTAGGTACGGTATATGTTCAACAGAGGTAGTGTTGTCAGAGGACACAGGTAGTAAACAGGAAGTAGATACAGTAGATACATAGCACATATATGTATGACTATAGGTAGCACGTAGGTACTTTGAAGGAGTATGTGTGCTACGTAGGTCGCCTAAAAGGTAGCATGTACCTAGTAAATGCGAGGCTGGTAGTCAGAAATGCTGCAAAGACCTAGCAAATACGAAGCTGGACCTCAGAAATGCTGCCAATAGCTTGCAAATAGAAGGGAATTGGGGCTACTACCTGGGGACCCAACCCATGGGGGGGGGTGGAGAGACGGAGGACGGGACCATATATACACATATGCAATCTGCACCTGCGTCCATTCTTTCAGTATCTGATTTCTGACTTAACAGCTGACGTGCTTCTGAAACTTTTGCCAAGGCTCTGGGTCTGCTATCCCGCAAATGTCTTACCTGACTGCCACGCCTGTCACAATCCAGGCGGTCAAAACGACTGTGTCACAGCCACGGCCAACACCAGACTTTCGCCGAATCTGCAGAAACATCCAAACAGAAAATCAGAAAGAACTGCACAACTCTTTCATCCATGTTTTCGTCTTGAAAGAAAGTCACAAAATTGAGACTTCCGAAACCATCAGCGTCAACCGATGTCAACCGATGTCAACCAATCCTTGATCTCAGGGTCTGGAGCGCGATGGGTCTCCTAGCTCCAGACTCGGTGCTCGCAGCTCACGGGGCGGTCGCTCACGTGGTCTGCGCCTGTGCCATGAAATGATCCAAATTTGGAAAAAATGTTGAGAAAGAAACATCTAGACAATCTAGACAATCTAGACAATATACATTTAGATTATAGATTGTAGATGTTTCATATGTGTGTATGTGTGTGCGCGTCTTTGTTTTTATTCATATTTATGTATGCTTATGATTGCTTATGTTTACATGTATATCACAGGCAAAAAGATCATCTACTCTGCCACACTCTCTATCAAAATCCTGAAAGGCGCCTGTCATAACACCTGTCGTAGTACAATGTCTCCTGCCGCTAGTAGGCTGAGTAAAATTCCAACCTCTGAAACCATTCCACTCAAGCTTTTTCTGCTTTATGCATATTCCAACGTCATGATCTTCATGACCTTCATGATCTTCATGTTTCACAGTGCGTCATGTGAAACATCATGGATCCAGGACTTCCTCTCGGTAGGCATCGTCATATCTTTGCCCATCCCTTCGAGACCTGGGAGACCTGAGCCCCGCAGATTTTAGGCAGATGCCATCAGCATAGCGTTAAGGCCCACGCGCCCACAATTCCTCACAAAATCATGACAGGATATGACATGTAAACATATGTAAACTACATTAAACTACTGTAGTCTCTTGGCTTTTCCAGCTTTTTTCCAGCTTTTCCTGCAGCGTCCCAAGTGATGCACCCTCGCTGGTCCATTTCTCGGGTCCCTGTCCTCTCGGCAATCGCCACCTATCACAAAAACATACACCACCAAACTCTACGAAAAACTCATACAAACTACCCAAAGACTCTGCCATAAACTAATTAAAAAGTATTGAACTGCGCAGCTTCGCAGGATCTTTGGGATCTTGAATATCTTCAATGATTGTGCCATATGTGCAATGAAGTTCAGGAAGTGTTTAGTTCGTTTAGTTCTTCTAGTTCCTCAACAGCGACCGAGTCCGCAGCTGCGCGCATCTCGCATGACCTGACAGGAAACGGCTCCAGAGACGGCTCCAGAATCTCAGGATCCGGGCATCACATGCATGATGCTGATAATGATATCACATACCCAAAATATGATATAATATGCCATAAATATATATATATGTGTGTGTATTATGTATATATATATATATATCACACGTCTAGAGCTTTGGGTATAGCTTCAGTGAGGTCCAGCCTCAATTTAGGGCAGCGGCCCATCGGCCATCGACGTCATGGGAGACCACATCTGTGATCCAGGCGGTGAAGGTGGGATGATTGAAGACTTTGAAGACTACTTGCCTACCTGAAAGCCTTGGGGAAAAGCTGAGAAAAAATAATCAGGGTTTGGCAGTTGCATCCTGAGTACTTCAAATCTGCTTGAAAGTACAGGCGCGCAAGGCTGCACGGGCAATCCAAAAGCAGGTGCACTGTCAGAGGTGTTGCAGTTGGGAGGAGCTGTTGCAGTCACCTTTTTTTGCCATTGCCCTTTTTCTGTCAGGCAGCCGGGCCCTTTTTGGGCCCAGCCGTTGTAGTCAGCATTTCAAGTCAGACTTAGCACTGTTAGGAGTTGGTCTTGCGCTTCAGTTGCTCCAGTAGCATGCCACAAGGTTTGCCCACCTGCCATTCGCACTTTTGCCCACAGGTTTAAACAGAAGTTCCTTGAGGAAAACCGGGTGAGAGATGTGCGCATGGTGCGGAGCCTTCTTGCGGAATTCTTGCATGTACAGTTTCCTAAGCTGGAGAACCGATGGAATTTCAACCGAAGTTTTGAGTTCAAAATCCTGTTGGAAAAACAAGGCATTCGAAGAGTGTCTTCTGTTGCTCGAGAAGGTCAATCTTTTTGTTGGCTGCGTTGATTTGCGACCTGCCCCGGTCTGTCATCCGCCCAGAACGAAAATTGCAGCTAATGTGGGGTCAATGGAGTTGCTCTGGATTGAACTGGACTAGGCTGGGTTGAACCCAAGCCCAAACATCATGAAACATGATTAAACATGATTAAACTTACAAACATTGGCACAAAGTGTTGAAATTCGAAGTGTCTCAGGGTGTGAGGAGCACTTTGGCCGCACCTCAGGTCTTTGATGTAGTCATCGCGCTGTTCGGCCTCAGCCTGCAGGTCCAGCCAAACCTGAAAGCAACAGATCGAACAGATCGAACAGATCGCAGATATCGAACATGCAAGTTGTGTAGTTCCGTGAGCCTGTGAGCCTTGCTTCAATCATTGGCCGAGCAAATCGAATGTGCCTTGCCTCATTCTGGATCTCGTGCCTCTCCTCAACTTCCTGGCGATGCAAAATGATCAAATGCAAAAGTTGCCAGGTCCGGCCAGGTCTCTGCACTGGATCTGCAGATAACTGCCGGATGTAACTGCCGTCGCCATCACTATGCCATCGATGTAACTGCCGTCGCCATCCGTCGCCATCCGTCGCCCCCCCCCCTTCCTTGATGGCCGTCTTTTGCCGCTGATAACCTCGTGCTCACCGCCCACACTGTCCACACAACCGTCCACAATCTACAATATCTACAATGCTACACAGAGCTAAGCGAAGGGCTCTCGAGGATGTCACGTCTTGCATCAACTGTTCTCTGGTACAGAGTCTCTTTCTTCTGCAATTCCTTCTCCTTGTACCTTACTTTCCGTCTTTCACAATCTACCCCAAAGGCACTTCATGAAGATCTCATCAGAAGCACAAAGATGCACAAAGCAATTCCTCGTATTGTCCAAGCATCACCGTCTTGGTGTTCTTTTCCCTCAGTTCATTCTGTACCTCGATGAAGCCCATGGGGCCCATGGGGCCCATGGGGCCCATGTCGAAACGCAAACCCCTCGAAACGCCACCGCCGCACCGGCCTTGGACAACTCAGAGAAGACCGCGTCCCGGACAGTTACGGCGCTCTCGTATTCGACCACCTGAAAAATGGAAAGATGCCTGTAATACCACATCTATACACTGTAATACACTGTATACATGCCTGTAATACCACATCTATGCGTCAAAATCAAAAGAACAACTTTTCTAATTTACATTATGTGAATGTGTGTCATATTTCTGCACCAATCATATCGATATTTATTTGTGCAGATTGCATCAATATTATCAATCGATGTGTTCAACATTGTTCAAGTAGTCTCTAAACGAAACGACGGCTCGACTCGACCTGCTGCCGGAACATGGCCGACAGCATCGCAGCGTCTGCAGTGAGACTGTCAACCTCAGACCACGTCTCCTTGAGCAGCACTTTGATCTTCCTCAGTCGACTCAGTCGACTCAACCCAAATGGTGTCGTGGATCTTCATATCATATCATATATGATCATATCATATCATATCATATCATATCTTCACTTCATATATCTTCATATATCTTCATGCTCTTGTGATCTCTTCCGGATCAGGATGGTACTGAAGAAATCTGAAATCCAGTTTCTTCGGCATGAAACTCATGAAACGGAACAAAATGAACAAACCCTGCACCTGCGGGATCCAGTTCGATCCAAGGCTCTCAAGGCGTGGGAGATTTTCATTGGTCACCTGCAGATTCAACGAATTTCAACGAGAAAAAGAACTGCGGTGGAGCATGGTGGAGCAGTGAAGGCTGCGCCAGGCTGCGCCTTCTGGTTCCGTTCCTTCAACTCCTGCAGCTCCTTCTGCACGTTGTTGTGGTCGGCACGCAGAAAGGTCAGCTCCTAGGCGACCCACCCGGGAAAATCCGTAAGGAAAAAAAAGGAAACAAATTACTTTACTTCGTGTGATCCCCACCATGACATTTATACATTTTCTTACTGGCAAATCTTCTGGCATTCTATCTGACATATCTTCTGACATTCTATTTGGCATTCTATCTGGCATATCTTCTGGCATATGATCTGGCATATCTTCTGGCATATCTTCTGGCATTCTATCTGGCAAATCTTCTGGCATTCTATCTGGCATATCTTCTGGCACTCTATCTGACATATCTTCTGGCATTCAATCTGGCATTCTATCTGGCATATCTTCTGGCATATATTCTGACATATCTTCTGGCATTCTATCTGGCATTCTATCTGGCATATCTTCTGGCATTGTATCTGGCATATATTCTGGCATATCTTCTCATATCTATTGGCATTCTATCTGGCATATTTCTGGCATTCTATCTGGCAAATCTTCTGGCATTCTATCTGGCATATCTTCTGGCATTCTATCTGACATATCTTCTGGCATTCTATCTGGCATATCTTCTGGCATATATTCTGACATATCTTCTGGCATTCTATCTGGCATTCTATTTGGCATTCTATCTGGCATATCTTCTGGCATATCTTCTGACATTCTTTCTGACATTCGTTCTAACTTTCTTCTGCACATTCTTTGTCCCATATCTTCCTACATGAGGTCCGGCAGGGAACACTTGGCGTGGATACTCGCGTTTGAGGTCCGGCAGGGAACACTGGGCGTGGATGGTCGTGGTTGAGGTCCGGCAGGGAACACTGGGCGGGGATGGTCGTGGTTGAGGTCCGGCAGGGAACACTGGGCGTGGATGGTCGTGGTTGAGGTCCGGCAGGGAACACTGGCGTGGATGGTCGTGGTTGAGGTCCGGCAGGGCACACTGACGTGGATGGTCGTGGTTGAGGTCCGGCAGGGCACACTGACATGGATCGCAGTGGAGCAGGAGGAGGACGAGGAGGACGACGAGGACGACGAGGAGGACGACGAGGACGAGGAGGACGAGGAGGAGAGGAGGAGCAGGAGGACGAGGCAGGAGGAGGCAACTGACATAAAATCTAACAACCCTCACCTGGCAGGTGGGGAATAAGATCAAATAAGATCAAATAAGTAGAATAAAAGGAAAAGCTGAGCTGATAAAAATGCAGAATGCAAAGTGAAACGCTGCTCTTACTCTATCGGGGTGTTCTTCAGACCAAGTGCACTCTCCAACTTGTGCTTCGAGTGAAGCAGCTGACTGTGAGTTAGCTCCTGCACAACTTGAGTCTGGTTTCAAATTGGAAGCTGAAGCTGCTCACATCACAGGGATTTAGCAAATTGTTTGGCATTTTTTGTTGCTAAATCCCTTGGTTCCTTCTCTTGGATCTTGGTATTGAGCTGCTCGATCCGTTGGTCCCATGGTGTGTGGCCTGCCACGTCAAAGAAATGTCAAAGACATTATATAATATATATAATATAATTATATCATAATATATACATATATATATATAATATAATTATTATATAATATATAGATTCATCAAATGTCCAGAACACATTGGGACTCGTTTGTTGGCAGGGCATGGGCAACAATTTTAGTGAATCACACTCTCTTACACAGGAGTTGCTGACGTGCTGTTCCAGAATTTGGTCCAAGTCTCGCTGTGCTTTGCTTGTCTGGAGCTCATGGTCCAGCTTCGAAACTGAGTCAAAATTGGGTGCAACATGGCGGATTCGATTGCATTCCATGTAGAATGTAATGTAAAGGTGTTGTCTGTCTGCGTCTGTGTTTGTGTCTGTCTGTCTGGGGCATGTAGTATCTACAGTCATGCGAAACTGTTCCAAGATCTGCAACGTGTGTCTCAAACACTCCAGGTATCTGTAGGCGTTGCATTGGCGACTCTGTGTCCTGGGGTCCGCAACATTTGTCGAAGAGCACAGTGATCTCCTTCCGTAAATCTTCGCTGCGCACATGCCTGCCGTCCGCTTCAAGAGTCATCCAGACACTTTGCAAATCTTACATGCTCATCGCCACCACGAAATCGAAAAGTGCTGATGTTTTGCGCCAAGGTTTTGTGCCAAACGCCAAGCGAACGAAAGTGCTCTTGGCTCATTTACTCAGGCATTGGCGAATTCGGCTTCCACTTCACGCTTGCTCCAAACCTTGGAGCCACATAGCACCGCCAAACGAACAGCAGCACCATAAAACAACAGCACCCGTTGGGTGGCACCCATGGAGGTACATAGGGAGTGCGTGGCATTGCCAACAGAAGGTACTGATCGCTCTTTATCAGTTCTGATTTTCTAAGAGAAAATTTGACAATATGAGACTTATTTGACAATATGGTCAAAGCAACTTGTCCGTGTCACATCGAACCGACCAGACATGACCAGACTATGCCTAAATAAAACTCTCGAATGCATCAGTGACCAGTCCCTCACATTTGGGTTTTGAAAGGTTTTGAAGGGTTGAAGAGTTTGAAACCTCAACGAACTCACAACGCATCCAAAAGACTTCATCCGTCTGAGATGCTTTTCCATAGAATGCCTTGGTTGGAGCAAATCAGGTCGAATCTCAAATTGTCACATCGTCGAATTTGTCACCAGCTGGCGGGCCCCCAATAATGAGAGCGCATGATAGATATCTTGATATGCCCAAAGGTAGCTGACGTCGCTGTTTGCAAACGAAGTGCATTTCCTGAGGTTCGCCCATCGACACACACCCAAAACAATCACTTTGAAACACTCTTCGGTCCTCCTGCGACTGGTCATGCATCCGAAGTAATTTATTTTGGACTGCTAAACTTGGAACAACTCGAAACACTGTGAAAATATTGAACAAAATATTGAATTCAGTGCTTGCATTTGCTTGCCAAAGGGCGATGAAAAGCGTTCGAAACCTCCCAGGCAGCGTTGAAGGCTCCGAGACAACATCATTGCCCATGGCATGCTGGCTCCTCAGAAATAGCCATTGCTACTGATCACTACGATATGTTAAAAGCATTCAAAGCTACGCGCTATGCCAAACATTGTGAACCTCAGAAGCTTTGCAAATGTCAAACTTAGATCGACTTCTTCAAGCCAACCAATTTGAGCACAGCACTTGTCATAGGTGTAGGGACCACAATCTGTCACCTCAGCATGTCTGTCTCGAATGGACGTCGCTACATATGGATTGCTGATAAGAAACTATGTTCCCAGGTCTACTTGGCATGATGCAATGCATAGTTCGTTTGAAGTTCATGTTTCTGTTTGCGATGAAGATCCTGATGCGAACTAGGCACCTTTGGGAAATGCGGCAAGACATAAAGTTCAGGCAGTTTGTCCTTAGGTTTCGCCATCAAAACTGCACAGAAACCTGCCTTGCACAGCACATGCGGCACATGCACAAAGCACTTGTCCGCATGGTGTTGGCACTTGGGAAAGTTGTCGGAACTCGGAGCTGGTCGGAGCTTATCCATTTGGGAAACCGAGGAAACCGTGGAAACTCCCGAATTCTGCACAAGACACCATCTTTGTGGCCATCATCTTGACCTGCTCCTCACTGACACTGCACATCTGATCTGATAGCATTAGGAACATTTGTACCCGTCAAAAATCGTCAAAATATGTGAGTTGAATGATTTTAAATGATTCTAATCCGTTGTGCCTACAGATGACACTTTGCAATGGCATCCTGTAATCGCGCCATTCCCTCAGGGGGAGTTTCTCTGCGGAGTTCTAGATGCAACACCTTGGAAAGCACAAAAGAAGAATGGCATCGCCATCACAAGAGATCGTAGCTGTTCACAATACCTTCTACCAACAGGCTCACCAATGCCAAGCCGGAAATATGCTGCACCATTCTCTCCACTGCCCACGGACAGCCCATCTGCAGAAGGGCGAGCAGGAAATTAAGGCCCACACAGCTTGCCAATAAAGGATGGAGTCAATCCTCGGTTTAAACTGACATCCTAGTTATGAGGGCCCAATCTAAGGGGACGCAGTTCTGGTGGGAACGCGGGATGGATGCATTTTTTGCTTCGCGGAAGCACTTAGAAGCTGCATGGGCTTCTTAGAAGGGTTTTGCTTCTTAGAAGCAGCCTCTTAGAAGTAGAGGCCTTCTTAGAAGATCAGTTTTCTTTTTGATTTAAATTGTATGTTTAGCTTCTTAGAACCCTTCTGCTTCTAAGAGCTTCTAAGTGGCAAAATTCATCTTTTCAGCTTCGAAGAAGCCCCCCCGGAATCCATCCAGACTTGCATCCCCCTACATCAGCCCCTGAAGTTAGTTTACGTTAATTTTTCCATGTTTTTCCCAAACACATTTTCATTGTCCTATGTTTTTGTCCTTATTCGGGTCCTGTGTTTCTAAAAAATGTGTGCGCCCTTGTGTCGATGGTGGTGTCAGGCTTTCCGGATGTATTTTTTATTCATGTGTGCAACGCTCGAACATGTCGGAAATGCCAGATGCGCGTTTGCCTGTTCAATTCTTTCCGTTTAATTTGCTGCCATGATGTGCCATCGCATCGGCTGCATCAACTTTACCCAGTACTATTTGCAGTCTATAACGGCACAATCTTATGCAGGAGATTTACACCAAGCCGCATCGCCATCAAAAGTGAATCTCGCAAATTCCTCGGCGCACAAAATGAAACCAACGCAAATCATCATCACCACCACCACCACCGTCACCGTCACCGTCACCGTCACCGTCATCATCATCATCATCATCATCATCATCATCATCATCATCATCATCATCATCATCAAACAGGCCATTGAGAGAAGTTGATTGTTTCAGCCAAAGCGCAGCATGGACACGATGGTCGCTACAGATGGCAAGCGTTCTTTCATTGCCATGGCAGCAAAATCCTCTCGCGACTTACAAGCAGAAAACACAACAAACAATGCGGGACCAAGCTTGCATAGACGATGAGAAGATAGTATTTGGCAAATATGGGCAGGCACAGACACACAAAGCAACCATACCGAAGACAATTGGGAGCTGAATTCAGCGAGGTTTTCGTGCAATCACAGGTGGCAATGGAAAGCATCCCATCACAACGGTATTCCTGCAGCTGCCGCTCTGCTTCTGCTGCCAGTGGTTCCCATTCATCGGTTTCAGGTGGTTCAGAAAACCTCATCGTGCAATCCACGCCAAACATGAATCAAATTCCCAGCAACAGTCTTGCGCAGCTTGACCAACTGCATAGCAGCGGAAAGGTACAGGCAGAGCATTGACAGCGTGTTTCATTAGCCAAAGCGTCTCGGCCAAGGAGTGGATCAGAAAGCGGATGTCCAACCTCCCGTGGCAGGGGACGCTTCAAAAACTGCAACAGTCTGCATAACATGTGCCACCCGACCAACCACTACCCCTTGGCCCTTTGACTATGCGACCACCTCTGTCAGCTCTATCAATGTCTATCATGCTCTACCTATCCCGTTGTCGCTCGGCATTGTTGTTATCGTGTTGGTTCCCCGGTTCCTCAATCGCGTGATGATGCACCGATACTTCTCCAGGAGTTCGTCCGAGCGTTCGCCCTGACGCCACGGCTTAACATCATGACAGATGTTTTTTTTTCCCGAACGTCCTTCGCACTGTCTTACTGGTCATCCAAGTCACCAATTTTTATACAATTTTTTTTTCGGCAACCACTTCAAACTACGCCATTCAGCAAGTGGTCCTATGATCTGAGGTTCCCCCACTACATGGGCGCTACATGTCCTGATCCAGCCTGTGGTTGTTGCAAATTTACATCTGCAACCACCATGCGACGTGCGGGAGCGATTAAGCACGACAAACACGACTGCAAAATCATGTTTTATTTTTTTCACCAGTTCGGCCCGGGATTGATGAGTTCATGGTGCGTTTCATGAGGCAATGCGTCTTGATAGGGCGTTACCTTTTCGGATCAAGACCAGAATGCAAGAATGACAAAATACGCATTCCTTCTTGACAGAAAAATGCTGCAAAAACAATTGTTGCCACCAAACCGTGAAAACATGAAAGGGCATTCACAACGTGTTGCATTATGTTTGCTGAAAACTAAATTTAAAGCGCAAATAAGGAAAAGGGCAATTGATTGTTAATGTTGTTTCTCAACGCTGCTGACGTACTTTCACTTTCCAGCATTTGCCTATACATTGCGTTGGCGTTTCAATCTGTTGCGTTACCACCGCCAAAAGTTAAAAAGTACGAAACCTTGTCCTCCACACTGTTGCGACATGTCACGTCTACATTTTTTTATCGTTCCTTTCAACGATTTCATTTCAATGTCGGTTGAAGTTATGGATTCGTTGTCTTGAAAGTTCTTCGTTGTTACCATTCGAATCATGATATTTTTTTTCCGCGCCGCCAAGACCCGGCACTAAAAAAAATTGAGCATTGACATTGACTCCAAATATGATATCTACATCTACAATTGCGGAAAAACGGCCACAAATGGCTATGGATCAAAACTGATTGGGTACCGCAATAATTGTATGTTAAACACTAAAAATCAAGTTTGGGCCGCACAAAAATAAGAAGATTGAAAACAGTTGCCGGGTTCCCCACCAAGGAGGAATCACAAACACAAATCTCACAGACTGCAGTTTGTGCGTTAGAACCAAAAATGGAAACTAAGCGACAGCCCAAGCAAAAAACACTGCTACGCAGATAAAGGGTAGGTACTGTGGGGTTTTTGTTTTTAGTTCTGTATCCGCCTCCTCCGCCGCCTCCTCCTCCTCGCCCGTTCACTCACTCACTCACTCACTCACACACTCACTCACTCACTCACCCACTCACTCACTCACTCACTCACATCACCTCACTCACTCACATCACATCACATCACTCACTCACACGCACACTCAACTCACTCACACTCACTCACTCAACTCACTCACACTCACTCACTCACACTCACTCACTCACTCCCACTCACTCACTCTCACTCACTCACTCTCACTCACTCACTCACGCACGCACACACGCACTCACTCATTCACTCACTCACTCACCTCATTTGCGTGGCAGGCGTGGGACAATCTGCACTGCCAAGGGGTCCGGTGTCCCTTGGGGCTCTGCCGCTTTTGCGTGGCAGGCGTGCGACAATCTGCACTGCCAAGGGGTCCGATGTACGCCCTGGCGTCCCTTCAGGCTCCGCCGCTTTTGCGTGGCAGGCGTGGGACAATGTGCACTGCCAAGGGGTCGGATGCACGCCCTGGCGTCCCTTGGGGCTCCGCCTCTTTTGCGTGGCAGGCGTGGGACCATGTGCACTGCCAAGGGGTCGGATGTACGCCCTGGCGTCCCTTGGGGCTCCCCCTCTTTGCGTGGCAGGCGTGGGACAATGTGCACTGCCAAGGGGTCGGATGTACGCCCTGGCGTCCCTTGGGGCTCCGCCTCTTTAGCCTGGCAGGCGTGGGGCAATGTGCACTGCCAAGGGGTCCGATGTACGCCCTGGCGTCCCTTGGGTCTCCGCCGCTTTGGCGTGGCAGGCGTGGGACAATGTGCACTGCCAAGGGGTCGGATGTACGCCCTGGCGTCCCTTGGGGCTCCGCCTCTTTGCGTGGCAGGCGTGGGACGATGTGCACTGCCAAGGGGTCGGATGTACGCCCTGGCGTCCCTTGGGGCTCCGCCGCTTTGGCGTGGCAGACGTGGGACAATGTGCACTGCCAAGGGGTCGGATGTACGCCCTGGCGTCCCATGCACCTCCGCCGCTTTGGCGTGGCAGGCGTGGGACAATGTGCACTGCCAAGGGGTCGGATGTACGCCCTGGCGTCCCTTGGGGCTCCGCCGCTTTGGCGTGGCAGGCGTGGGACAATGTGCACTGCCAAGGGGTCGGATGTACGCCCTGGCGTCCCTTGGGGCTCCGCTTCTTTTGCGTGGCAGGCGTGGGACAATGTGCACTGCCAAGGGGTCGGATGTACGCCCTGGCGTCCCTTGGGGCTCCGCCTCTTTTGCGTGGCAGGCGTGGGACAATGTGCACTGCCAAGGGGTCGGATGTACGCCCTGGGGCTCCGCCTCTTTTGCGTGGCAGGCGTGGGACGATGTGCACTGCCAAGGGGTCGGATGTACGCCCTGGCGTCCCTTGGGGGCTCCGCCTCTTTAGCCTGGCAGGCGTGGGACAATGTGCACTGCCAAGGGGTCCGATGTACGCCCTGGCGTCCCTTGGGTCTCCGCCGCTTTGGCCTGGCAGGCATGGGACAATGTGCATGTCAAGGGGTCGGATGTACGTCCTGGCGTGCCTTGGGGCAGGCGTGGCAGTCACTCACACACTCACTCACTCACTCCCTCCCTCCCTCCCTCCCTCACTCACTCACTCACTGTACTTGAACATAGGCACTACACTCACTTGCGCACCTAGAAATTCACTCACTTACGCACCTGGGAAATGCACTCACTTGCGCACCTAGAAAATCACTTACTTACGCACCTGGGTCTCCATTTTATACGTGAATTACCAGGAACTTACGCTATCACGCATTGCAACCAAAGCGCCACGAAACCTTTAGGGTTTTTATCTTGTTGCATTTTATACGTAAATTACCAGGAAATTACGCTATCACGCGTTGCAAACAAAGAGCCACGACACCTTTAGGGTTTATATCTTGTTGCATTTTATACGTAAATTACCAGGAAATTACGCTATCACGCGTTGCAAACAAAGAGCCACGACACCTTTAGGGTTTATATCTTGTTGCATTTTATACGTAAATTACAAGGAAATTACGCTATCACGCATTGCAAACAAAGAGCCACGACACCTTTAGGGTTTATATCTTGTTGCACTTGATGTAAGTAGAGCCACGACACCTTTAGGGTTTATATCTTGTCTCACTTGATGTAAGAAGAGTCACGACACCTTTAGGGTTTATATCTTGTCTCACTTGATGTAAGAAGAGCCACGACACCTTTAGGGTTTATATCTTGTTGCACTTGATGTAAGAAGAGCCACGACACCTTTAGGGTTTATACCTTGTTGCACTTGATGTAAGAGGAGCCACGAAGCCTTTAGGGTTTATATGTTGTTGAACTTGATGTAAGAAGAGCCACGACACCTTTAGGGTTTATATCTTGTTGCACTTAATGTGAGGAGAGCCACGACACCTTTAGGGTTTGTATCTTGTTGCACTTGATGTAAGAAGAGCCACGACACCTTTAGGGTTTATACCTTGTTGCACTTGATGTTAGAAGAGCCACGACACCTTTAGGGTTTATACCTTGTTGCACTTGATATAAGAAGAGCCACGACACCTTTAGGGTTTATATGTTCTTGAACTTGATGTAAGAAGTGCCACGACACCTTTAGGGTTTATATCTTGTTGCACTTGATGTAAGAAGAGCCACGACACCTTTAGGGTTTATATCTTGCTGCACTTACTGTAAGAAGAGCCACGACACCTCTGGGGTTTATATCTTGTTGCACTTGATGTAAGAAGAGCCACGACACCTTTAGGGTTTATATCTTGTTGCACTTGATGTAAGAAGAGCCACGACACCTTGAGGGTTTATATCTTGTTGTACTTGATGTAAGAAGAGCCACGACACCTTTAGGGTTTATATCTAGTTGCACTTAATGTAAGGAGAGCCACGACACCTTTAGGGTTTGTACCTCGTTGTACTTGATGTAAGAAGAGCCACGACACCTTGAGGGTTTATATGTTGTTGTACTTGATGTAAGAAGTGCCACGACACCTTTAGGGTTTGTATATTGTTGCACTTAATGAAAGAAAAGCCACGACACCTTTAGGGTTTATATCTTGTCTCACTTTATGTAAGAAGAGCCACGACACCTTTAGGGTTTACATCTTGTTGCGCTTAATGTAAGGAGAGCCACGACACCTTTAGCGTTTATATCTTGTTGCACTTGATGTAAGAAGAGCCACGACACCTTTAGGGTTTATGTGTATCTTGTTGCACTTGATGTAAGAAGAGCCACGACACCTTTAAGGTTTATATCCTGTTGCAATTGATGTAAGAAGAGGTACGACACATTTTTATCTTTAGAATTAGAAGTAGAAGTAGAAGTAGAAGTGGAAGCAGTAGTAGAAGTAGAACTAGAAGTGGAAATAGAAGTAAAAATAGAGTAGTAGAAGTAGATGTAGGAGTAGAAGTAGAAGTAGAAGTAGAACTCGAACTAGAAGTAGATGTAGGGGTAGAAGTGCTCTTATACTTCCTCTTCCCTTCTGGCTTTTCTATGCTCAGTCCAAGTCTAAAGAAGTTGGTAACATGTGGGGTTATCCGGTCCTTTAATTGTAATGGATGGGCGAGGGCATTTTTTAATGGAATGGATCCATTTTTGGGGGTTATATATTATAGAACATCACTATCGTAGCACCTAGCGAACCGGATACGCAAAAAAATGTTTTTCCCACTATGTTATTGAAATGCGGTAAAAATTAAGTGTTGAAACCAAGAAGTTTGATTTATATGGAACGGTTGCATGTTGAGGGTGTTATTTTGAAATACCTTCGGGTATCTGAAACCAAAATTACAAATTATGTTAGTACATGTGATCGCACATAAAAAATGTATTGTATAAACAACCTAGGCAAGATGAAACTACTATCAAATGTTACCAACAAATTCAGAGTCAAACACAATTTTTGAAAATAATTTAAATGTAGAACTAGGACATTTTTGTTTTTCAGAAGGGACACTTTTCCAAAGATGGGGCCCCGTGACTTACGAAGCAGGTGCCCCGCTGTGGACGGTTCCCTTGAAACCGGGCACCGGGTGCCGATGCGCTGCGTTGTTGTGCTGTAATTGGGCAGAGGGCACCGTCGTTAATTTTTAATCTCCGCCAAGTGCT